ATGGCCTTTATGATATTGAGGTATGTACCCTCTATCCCTATACTCTGAAGAGTTTTGATCAAGAAAGGATGCTGTACGTTGTCAAATGCTCTTTCTGCATCTATTGAGAGGATCATATGCTTCTTGTTCTTTCTTTTGTTAATGTATTGTATCACGTTGATTGATTGGCGGATATTGAACCAACCTTGCAGCCCAGGGATAAATCCCACTTGGTCATGGTGAATAATCCTTTCAATGTACTGTTGGATCCTGTTGGCTAGTATTTTGGTGAGAATTTTTGCATCCATGTTCATCAAGGATATTGGTCTGTAATTCTCCTTTTTGATGGGGTCTTTGTCTGGTTTTGGAATCAAGGTAATGGTGGCCTCATTAAATGAGTTTGGAAGTTTACCTTCCATTTCTATTTTTTGGAACACTTTCAGGTGAATAGGTATTAATTCTTCTTTAAATATCTAATAGAATTCCCCTGGAAGCCTTCTGGCCCTGGGCTTTTGTTTGTTGGGAGATTTTGGATGACTGCTTCAATTTCCTTAGTGGTTATAGGTCTGTTCAGGTTTTCTATTTCTTCCTAGTTCAATTTTGGTAGTTGATACATCGCTAGGGATGCATCCATTTCTTCCAGGTTATCTAATTTGCTGGCATAGAGTTGCTCATAATATGTTCTTATAATTGTTTGTATTTCTTTGGTGTTGGTTGTGATCTCTCCTCTTGCATTCATGATTTTGTGGATTTGGGTCATTTCTCTTTTCTTTTGGATCAGTCTGGCCAGGGGTTTATCAATCTTGTTAATTTCAAAGAACCAGCTCCTAGTTTCGTGGGTCTGTTCTACTGTTGTTTTCGTTTCTAGTTCATTGATTTCTGCTCTGATCTTTATTATTTCTCTTCTCCTGCTGGGTTTAGGCTTTAGTTGCTGTTTTTTCTCTAGCTCCTTTAGGTGTAGGGTTAGGTTGTGTATTTGAGACCTTTCTTGTTTCTTGAGAAAGGCTTGTATTGCTATATACTTTCCTCTCAGGACTGCCTTAGCTGTATCCCAAAGATTTTGAACAGCTGTGTTTTCATTTTCATTGGTTTCCATGAATTTTTTTAATTCTTCTTTAATTTCCTGGTTGACCCATTCATTCTTTAGTAGGATGCTCTTTAGCCTCCATGTATTTGAGTTCTTTCCGACTTTCCTCTTGTGATTGAGTTCTAGTTTCAAAGCATTGTGGTCTGAAAATATGCAGGGAATGATCCCAATCTTTTGGTACCGGTTGAGACCTGATTTGTGACCTAGGATGTGATCAATTCTGGAGAATGCTCCATGGGCACTAGAGAAGAATGTGCATTCTGTTGCTTTGGGATGGAATGTTCTGAATATGTCTGTGAAGTCCATTTGGTCCAGTGTGTCATTTAAAGTCTTTATTTCCTTGTTGATCTTTTGCTTAGATGATCTGTCCATTTCAGTCAGGGGGGTGTTAAAGTCCCCCACTATTGTTGTATTGCTGTCAATGTGTTTCTTCGCTTTTGTTATTAATTGCCTTATATAATTGACTGCTCCCATGTTCAGGGTATAGATATTTACAATTGTTAGATCTTGTTGGATAGACCCTTTAAGTAGGATATAGTGTCCTTCCTCATCTCTTATTACAGTCTTTGTTTTAAAATGTAATTTGTCTGATATAAGGGTTGCCACCCCAGCTTTCTTTTGGTGTCCATTAGCATGGTAAATTGTTTTCCACCCCCTCACTTTCAATCTGGGGGTGTCTTTGGGTCTAAAATGAGTCACTTGCAGACAGCATATTGATGGGTCTTGTTTTTTAATCCAGTCTGATAGCCTGTGTCTTTTGATTGGGGCATTGAGCCCATTTACATTCAGGGTAACTAGTGAAAGATATGAATTTAGTGCCATTGTATTGCCTGTAAGGTGACTGTTACTGTATATTGTCTGTGTTCCTTTCTGACCTATGCTGCTTTTAGGCTCTCTCTCTTTGCTTAGAGGACCCCTTTCAATATTTCCTGTAGGGCTGGTTTCATGTTTGCAAATTCCTTTAGTTTTTGTTTGTCCTGGAAGCTTTTGATCTCTCCTTCTATTTTCAGTGATAGCCTAGCTGGATATAGTATTCTTGGCTGCATATTTTTCTCGTTTAGTGCTCTGAAGATATCTTGCCAGTCCTTTCTGGGCTGCCAGGTCTCTGTGGATAGGTCTGTTGCCAATCTAATATTTCTACCATTGTAGGTTATATATCTCTTCTCCCGAGCTCCTTTCAGGATTTTCTCTTTGTCTCTGAGACTCGTAAGTTTTACTATTAGATGTCGGGGTGTTGACCTATTTTTATTGATTTTGAGAGGGGTTCTCTGTGCCTCCTGGATTTTGATGCCTGTTTCCTTCCTCATATTAGGGAAGTTCTCTGCTATAATATGCTCCAATATTCCTTCTGCCCCTCTCTTTCTTTCTTCTTCTTCTGGTATCCCAATTATTCTAATGTTGTTTTTTCTTATCGTATCGCTTACCTCTAGAATTCTTCCCTCGTGATCCTGTAGTTGTTTCTCTCTCTTTTTCTCAGCTTCTTTATTTTCCATCATTTGGTCTTCTATATCGCTGATTCTCTCTTCTGCCTCATTTATCCTAGCACTTAGTGCCCCCATTTTAATTGCACCTCATTAATAGCCTTTTTGATTCAACTTGGTTAGATTTTAGTTCTTTTATTTCTCCAGAAAGGGTTTCTCTGCCGGCGTTGGTGGTATAGTGGTGAGCATAGCTGCCTTCCAGAAAGGGTTTCTCTAATAACTTCCATGCTTTTTTCAAGCCCAGCTAGTATCTTAAAGTCATGATTCTGAACTCTAGGTCCGACATCGAACTAATGTTCGTATTGAGTAGGTTCCTGGCTGGTGGTACTACCTCTTGGTCTTTTTGCTGAGGTGATTTTTTTTTGTCTTGTCATTTTGTCCAGAGGAGAATAGATGAATGAAAGAACAAAATGCTAACAGGTTAACAACATCCCCAGGTAATATACTCTATACAAATCAGAAAAGACCTGAAACCAGGGGAAAAGAAAGGGAAAGAAAGATAAAAGAAAGAGAAAAAAAAAAGAAAAAGATAAAAACAAAAACAGAACAATACAAAAAAAAACAGAATATGATCAAATATGATCAGGCTAGTGCATAGATCAGTGCCGCACACTAGATTTTGGGCGTATTTTGTTCTGTTAGAAAAAAGTGCCTCCTAAAATTTTAAAGGAAGAAAGGCTTATATATGTACAAAATAAGGGTTGATACAATGAAGGGATGGAAGATGAGTGTAAAGATGAAAATTATAAAAGATTTTATAAAAGGAATTGATAAGATAAGAAGTTGTTTGAAAAAGAAAGAAGAAATTTAAAAGAAAAAGAGAAAAAAGGGAGAGAATGTGATGACGCAGGAGACTAGAACAAAGCCATACACTAGTGATTTAGGGTATATTTGATCTGTTAGAAGAAACTGTATCTCAAAATTTTAAAGAGAGAACAACTTATATATATATATATGCCACAAATAAGGGTAACTACTATGAAGGGATAAAATATGACTCTAAAAATGAAAAATAAAAAATTTTTTTAAAAAGGGATTGATAAGATTTTGGTTGAAAAAGGGAAAAAGAAAAATAAAAAAAAACAGTTAAAAAATTAACTTTGAAAAACTAATGAATCATGGTAAAAAAAAGCCATGAATTCTATGTACAATATTCCCCTAGCGCTGGAGTTCTCCCGTTCTCCTTGATCGGTAAACTTGGTCTTGGCTTGCTGGCTGTTCGTGCTGATCTTCTGGGGGAGGGGCCTGTTGCCGTGGTTCCCAAATGTCTTTGCCGGTGGCGGAATTGCCCTGCCCTTGTCGGTCCGGGCTAAGCAAGCTACTCGGGTTTGCTCTCAGGAGCTTTTGTTCCCTGCAAGCTCTCGGTACAGCTTTGGAGGACCAGGGTGAAAATGGTGGCCTCCCTATCTCTGCCCCGGAGGAGCTGAGAACTCGGGGCCCCGCTCCTCAGTGCGCCGCCAGAGAAAAGCAGTCACTCCCGTCTCCCTGGTCTCCGGCCACACTCCGTGCTCACCCGGCCTGTGACCCGAGCGTTTCTATCTCTGGCACCCGACCCCGTGTGGAGACTCCAAACCCAGCAGATCCCTGTGGTGTGCTCCCGCGCCGCTCCTCCTGGGAGAGGAAGGGGAGTCTCCCCGGATCTGCTGCTTGTTGAGTCCCTGCTGGAGACGCAGTGGCCCAACTGGCCCGCGGATCACAGTTTATGGCAACCCCGAGCTGAGAGCCCGCGCCTCGGCCCTGTCTCTGCAGCCGGCTTCCCCGCTCCAATACCTGGGAGCTCTGCTGCATTCAGGCACCCCCGTTCTTTCTGTGAACCCGAGGGTCCTGAGACCACTCTGTCCCGCGAGGGTTCCACCCCCCGCTTAGCCACTGGAGCAAGGTCCCTCAGCGGAGCCGACTTCTAAAAGTTCCGATTTTGTGCTCCGTGGCTCTATCACTTGCCAGAAGTGGCCGACGGAGGCCCCCTCCCCCACCATCTGTCCTCCCGAATATCGCCTCGGATTCACTTCTCCGCACGTCCTACCTTCCAGCAAGTGGTCGCTTTTCTGTTCAGAGAGTTGTTGCTACTCTCCTGTTCGATCTCCTGTTGAGTTCGTAGGTGTTCAGAATGGTTTGATCCCTATTCAACTGAATTCCTGAGACCAGACGAAATCCAGGTCTCCTACTCCTCCGCCATCTTGCCCCGCCTCCAGGTGCTGATTTAAAGGCTACACCATTTTGCATCCCAAGGGGGCCTTTGGGATCAGGAAAAGGAAGCTGAATAGACGCCCTTTTAATGCTTCATTGGCTTAGACTGTCAACCCAGTCTTTTGAGGAGAGAAAGAGGTGGGGGGGGAGAGAGGGAGGGAAAGAGAGAGAGGGAGGGAGAGAGAGAGAAGGAGGGAGGGGGAGAGGCAGAAGGAGGGAGAGAGAGAGAGTGTGTGTCCACACCGTGCAAACACCTTTCCTTGCAGAGTGCAGTTGAGAGCTTTGCCTCTGTCCTAGAACAAACATCCACATCGTCCAACTTCACCAAAGAAGAGACCTCCGCCCTGGCCACTGTTGTCCTGGAGAGTGTGAAAAGCACCACCCTGGCAGCGTTCCTGAAACCGTCAGCAAATGTCAGTCAGACTGTCCAGACTGAACATTTAGGTAACATGGCAAGGTTACACCGGGGCGCTGACTTTGAGGGGCGGGACTTGAGAGATGCGATTCTCCGTGGCTTTCCCATATCCCATTTTCCCAAGTGTTTCAAATCTCTGAACTCACCGCAGAGCCAGTCCAAGGATATGAACAACATCTCCCATTTACTGAGTGGCTGACCTTGAATTATGAGTGTTGCCAGGTAGGGTTTGGAGTGTGTTATCTATTCAACAACTATCTGAATCCCACAGTAAACAAACATCTGGTATACCAGGCATGGATAGTGCTATTGAGAAAAATACAGCAGGGCTAAGTCGGCTAGAGAGGGTCAGGCTTGGGGGGGGAGCATTGCTAGCTTACCTGGGAAAAGAGCCGTGTACCTATTTGCAGAAAGGGCAGGCACAGGAATATTTAGTGAGTTCAAGGAACAATGAAGAGGCCAGCATGGCCAGAGTGGAGTAGAGATTCATAGAGCTTGCAGGAGAAGGGGTCAGAAAAGAAGGGGAGAGGTGGATTTTGTAAACAAATGTAGGGATTTTATCTGAAGTAAGACTGGGGATGGGGTACGGAATTGGAGAGTTTGAGAACAGGCGTGACATTATCTGGCTTATGTTTTACAATGGATATCTCTGGCTCCATTACCTATTTTGTTTTCATGAAGATCCCTGTAATTATTGCCGTGCCACAGGTGAGGGACTTGCAGCTCAGAGGGTTTAAGTCTTTGTTCAAGTTGGCACAGCTGGAGAGTGCCAGAGCTGACTGCAACACCTGAGCCCTGGTCCGCTCTGCTGGGTTTGCCCCAGCCCCTTCCTATTTCCTTTGGCTTCGGAAAACTTGTCTAAATGTAGAGTAGCCAGAGGGTCATGACTGTTGCTTTCCACCTCTGTTGACTTCAACCCCGTCCTTCCCTGATGCGCCCCCTATGGGGCGAGAGCTCACTCCCACAGCTCCCGCTGGGTTTCTTAGTTGTCTGGTGCTCCCACCCTCCTGTCATTCATCAGGGGCTCAAGATCTTCCCCATGATAAACTGGCCTTTTTATTCTTTGCTTGCAACTAGGTGTGTATAACTTTTTTGGACAGAAACCAAATTCAGGACTCACTTTCTGAGTGACCTCAGGCAAAGTCTCCCTATCTCCTTTTAAAGATTTTTATTTATTTATTTGTCAGAGAGAGAGAGAGCACAAGCAGGGGGAGCAGCAGGCAGAGGGAGAAGCAGGCTCCCCGTTGTTCAAGGAGCCCCATGTGGGACTGGATCCCAGGACCCTGGAATCATGACCTGGGTTGAAGGCAGACACTTTGCCGACTGAGCCACCCAGGCATCTCCCTGTCTTCTTTTAGAAATTGAAAGCAAAATTATCAAGGAAGAATGCACTGAAGAGAATGTGAGCTTTCACCTGAGAGCCAAAGGGGACGAGATGGAGATTGGGTGCTCCACCATTGAAGAATCTGAATCCACAGGTACAGACTTGCTCCTGAGAATCAAGGAGGGTGGTTATGGTGTATTCAGTCAGCACACATTTATCAGTCAACTCATAGGTGCCAAGACTCGTGAGGGGATCAGTGAGGTGAGGTCCATGCCCTCAGGGAGTTTTTTCCATCCACTGGGGAAGTCAGATATTAAATAAATGAATACCCTCACAATAATGGAGCATCAAGACCTTTAGTGTCCAGTAAAGTAGCCACTCAATAACCTTTTGTTACTGAGCACTTGACATGTGGCCAGGCGGTGAGTGTAAAAATATACACTGGATTCCAAAGGCTTGGCATAAAAAACGAAGGATGGAAAAATCTCATTCATATTTTTATATTGATTGTATGTTGAAATGATAATATGTTGCATGTATTGAGTTCATATGTCATTAAAATTAACTTTTACCTGCTTTTGACTTTTCTAAAAGTGTGGCTGCTAGAAAACTTAAAATTACCTAGGTGGTTCATGTTGTATTGCTAAGTGGACAGCGCTGGTCTGTATCAGGGATTGACAAACTTGTCTTGTAGAGGGCAGGTTTGTAAATGTTTTAGGCATTGAGGGCAATACAGTCCCTCACGGTGCAAAGGTGTTCATACACGAATGTGTGTGGCCATGTTGCTGTAACACTTTTATTTATACAGAAGAGGCAATGACCAGATCGGCCTGTGGGCCATTGTTTGGCCACTCCTCAATCTATCTTTGGTCTGGGGGGCTCAGGGAACAGGCCTGGGACATCCCTGAAGACCACCAACGTTGAAAGGGGAAGCCTACCAAAGAGATGGAGCAAGAATAACCATAAATGTGGGAGACGAACTTATTTCCCCCTGCTCAGTTTGATTGTCTCTTAAAAATACAAATTAAAATTTATTTTTTAAATATAGCCAGCATTTCTCCAGGTGGAAGCAACTCAGGATTTTTTTAATGGTTCTAGTGAGGGTCACCAATCTAGAAGTCCACTGGCTGCACTGGTGTTGCAATCCTCAGAGTGGGCCAGTGGAGGTACAGAGATACATGGGATGTTAAAGTGTGTATGTGTATGTACATGTTGGGTCATCTGTAATCACTACTGAGCAAATGATTCCTTTTTTTTTTTTTTTTTTTTTTGCCTTTGGGGGAAATCACAGGCACCACTGGGGTGGCTTTTGTCTCCTTTTCGGGGATGGAGTCTCTTTTAGATGAGAGCTTCTTCCAAGACCCTGAGACCCCTTTGACCAACTCCCAGAGGAAGTTGAAGGTGAAGATGAATTCTCGCGTGGTACAGGGCATCATGACTGGGGAGAAGAAACATGGCTTCTCTGACCCAGTCATTTACATGCTGGAGCACATTGAGGTTTGTGAAGACGTCCCTGCTGAGCCCCCATCTACATACTGAGAATGCCCTATCCCCCAGTGGGTTTGACTTTCATTTTTGATAGGGACCCACAAAGGCAGCAAGCTCTCACAGTTTTTTTTTTAAAGACTTTATTTATTTATTTGACACACAGAGAGAGATAGTGAGAGAGAGAGAGAGAGGAAGAGAGCACAAGCAGGGGGAGCAGCAGGCAGAGGGAGAAGCCGGCTTCCTGCATTAGCAGGGAGCCCGATGTGGGGCTCGATCCCAGGACCCTGGGATCATGACCTGAGCTGAAGGCAGCGGTTTAACCAACTGAGCCACCCAGGCGACCTGCTCTCACAGTTTCTTGCAACTCAAGCTGATCCCCAAAATCCACCTTTAGAGAGGAGGGCTCTCCTCTTTCTATGTGTATTCTTCCATCCATCACTGGGCAAGATTGGGCCCAGATTAAGTGATGTTGATGCAGGAACATTTACAGGGATGTTATCTACATTGGCTATGACCAGTTCAGTGCTAGAGGCAGATCTGGTATCTGAGAACTTTCCCTCCATCCTTGCACACTGAAATACCACATTTCCCTCCCAAACATACCTGCATCTTCCTGCCCCAAATGACTCTTGAAGTTGGTCATACTGAATCCATATGAAGGAGAGTCTCGGGTGACAAGAGCCTTTCCATTTTCAGCCAAAGCAGGAATTTGAGAGGCCTATCTGCGTTTCCTGGGACCCCATTGTGGAGGGTGGTAGGTGGATGCCCTCTGGCTGTGTGGTCCTTGAAGCTTCTGAGACGCATACTGTCTGCAGCTGTAATCAAATGATGAACCTGGCCATCATCATGGCTTCTGGGGAGCTCACGGTCAGTACTGATTCTCTGTGTTCTGGCTCCCCAAATCCAAGGGGAAAATATTGAATAAACACCCATTATGTGTCTCTCATGGCCTTGGGTATTGTGGGAGGGAGTTGGGGTGGGGACAGATGGGGTGTGCGATACCTCTGCCCTTGGAGAATTCAGGGTCTGGCTCGGAAGCCATGACATTCACGTATAAAATGAGAATTGACCCTAAGCAGATGCTGGGACAATTATAATCACAGATCCCATTTACAGAGCACCTACTGTGTTGGACCCTTTATTTTAAGTTATGTGTTTTCAGGCCCTTTTATAGGATGGGGGCTGAGGCTCCATAGCCCACCTGCTTAGGAAACTCAAGATGAGGCTCAAGCCCAGGACAGTCTAGCTCCAGAGGACTCTTTCCACAAAACCATGTACATGGTGCAAGAAGTTGTGCTATGGGAATTCAGAAGTGTGTTGGTGAGAGCTAGCTAGCAATCAATCAGGGAGGGGATGGATGTGAAGTGAGCCTTGGTGAGTGGGTAAAGACCTACAGAGCATGTAATACGTTTCCTGCACAGTCGTGAGCACTTTAAGTATTTTCATTGAATCCTCCTACAACAACCATACAGGGTAGTTACTGTTAGGATCCTCTTTAAACAGATGAGGAAACAGAGGCTCAGAGCAGTTAAGTATCTTGCCCAAGCTCATACAACTAGGAACTGGCAGATCTCTAGTCCATTCTCTTAGCCACCACATCACAAAATCATAGGGAGTAGCTCGTGAGATGGTACCTTGTCACAACTTCAATACACAGAAGGAACTCAAAAATTTAAAATTAATTGTGAATAAAAATAATTGTGAATAGGGGAAGGACTCGGCTTGCCATTTCCACTCCCAGAAGTTGGGGCATCTCTGAACGCCTGTGTAGCAGTCCTGGTTCAGGGCAGGAAATGGTAACCACTCTAGATATTTCAAGCAGGGAATGGGATGCTCACAAAATCACGGGAAGGGATGGAGGAGTTGAAGTCAGGGGCTGCCACTTGGGGTTTGGTTTCGAGATCACCCCTCTGCAGCTGTAATCCAGAGGTCAGAAATTGCTGCTGTCAGATCACCCCACATCCATGCAATCAAAGAAGGGACAGCTGGAATGTGGAGCCCAGCCATAGCTTGCTCCTGTCTGCAGAAAGAAAACTGGTATCTGCCTCCATTCTGCCTTCCAAAACTTCTGTGCTTATATCTCATTGGAGAACCTAAATGACATCCAGGACCCTAGCCCCAGGAGATTCTGGGAAATATAGTTTATAGACATCCTGCTCTAGTACAACGTGAATTGGGGCACAGAACAGGAGTGGGAACGGGTGCTGATGGATTCCAAAGGATGATGCTGGACAATATCTAGTTCACTCTGAGTGTCAAAGGGAGAAAATGTCCTTGAGTCCTTTCTGCCCCAGTCAGGAGTCTGGATAATTCTTTTTTCTGCCCGGAGGGATGTCAGTCCCTCTCTGAGTGGTGTATCTCCTTCCTGACAGATGGAGTTATCCCTGTACATCATTAGCCATGTGGGCATGATCATCTCCCTGGTGTGTCTCATCTTGGCCATCGCCACCTTCCTGCTGTGTCATGCCATTCGCAACCAAAACACGTACCTCCACCTGCACCTCTGCATCTGCCTCTTCTTGGCCAAGACTCTCTTCATCATCGGTGTAGACAAGACTGACAACCAGGTCTCACATCCCTTAGACTGTGTCCTTACTCAGCCCCACCATCTCCACATCTGCCTCTGCTCATCCTACCCAACGTCTATGCTAGTTCCCTCTTCAGGGCCTTTGCATGTGCTATGCCCTCTTTTGATGATACTTGTTTCCAGTTCTTCACCTGGTTGACTCCTTCTTGTGATAGGTCTCAGCTTAAAATCATTTCCCTGATCATGTTGTATATTGTGGTGGTCCCTCCTATTACTGTTTAAACCATTGGTTCTTATTTTGGAGGATTCTGCCCCTAGAGGACACTCGGTGATATCTAGAGACAGTATTGGTGGGGTTGCTGCTGGCATCTGGTGGAGACTAAGGATGCTGCCAAATACCCTACAATACACAGGACAGATCCAATGACAGAAAATAATCTGGCAATAGTGTTACAAATGTCAATAATGTTACAGCTGTGAAACTCTACACCTTATCAGTCTTTGTTGCTTTCTTTCCCAGCATTTATTTGAAACCATATTATTTGTTGTTTTACTTGTTGTGTATCTGCCCCCCCACTAGACTATGAGCCCCACGAGAGCAAGAACTTTGGCCAGTTTACCCCCATAACTATACCAGAAACATAGTAGGTTCCCAGGATTTTTCCAGAAGGAGCACTAGTGACATTCTATCTGGGGTGATCATTCTTTGGGTAGAACCCCCGCCCCCACTGTGGAATGTTTAACTTCCCAGAACTCAGTGCTAGTAGCACTTGTCACTCCCACCATTTGACTAGGAGTGAGCAAACTTTTTCTGTAAAGAAGCAGATATAAATATTTTCGGCTTTGCAGATCCTAGGGCTCTGTCACAACCACTCAGCTTTGCTGTTTTAGCATGAAAACAGCCATTGAAAACATAGAAATGGATGTGGCCATGTGCCAATGAAACGTTATTTACAAAACAGCCAGCCAGCCCAATGACTACAGTTTGCTGACCTCCACACTCAATATCTTCAAACATCCTCTGAGGTAGGGTGATCGACTATCCATTCTTTTCAAAACTCCCCCAGTTTTAACACTGAAAGTCATATGTCCTAGGAAAAACCAGTCCCAGGCAAACCAGGACAATGGGTCCCCCTACCAAAGGGATGATAGCACCTGCAGGGAAGAATATCTCTATAAAGGTTTGTGGAATGAATGAATGGGCTGTGGTTGAGGAACTCCAATCAAAGTTACCCCCACTGTTGTCTGAACCTGCTTCTTGGGTGGGGGTGGGGGGGGGTAGGAGGATCCTGAGTGTGCATGTTTCTCCTCTACAGATGGGCTGCGCCATCATTGCAGGCTTCCTGCACTACCTTTTCCTTGCCTGCTTCTTCTGGATGCTGGTAGAGGCTGTAATGCTCTTCCTTATGGTCAGGAACCTGAAAGTGGTGAATTACTTCAGCTCTCGCAACATCAAGATGTGGTACCTCTGTGCCTTTGGCTACGGGCTCCCAGTGCTGGTGGTGGCTGTCTCTGCCAGTGTGCAGCCACAAGGTTTTGGGATGCATAATCGGTAAGTGATATCCTTCTCTCTCCCTGAAGAGCCTGCTGCCAGGGTTTATGATGATATTTACATGAACAACAAGAAGAGCAATAACAGTAGCTATAATTGTGTCTACCATGTATTGAGCTCTTTATGTTTTGTCAGTCTCAGGGCTGCCATGTACAGTAGCACAGGTTGTGCACTGCACATATCCAGGAACCACTGTTTGCACTACAGTACAGATGAATGGTGGTGGTGTAAACAATGAACTTGGTTGTAAATTTGAAAATCATGGATCCTGGAGCCAGCCTGCTTGGGTTTGAATCCTTGCTCTACCACCTTCTAACTGTGCTACCTTGGGCAAGTTACTTGTGCTTCCATTTCCTCATCCATACAATAGGGGCTGACAGCAATGCCTACGTCATAGTGTTGTGAGGGTTAAAGGAGTCATTATCTGCAAAACATTTAGAACAGTGTCAGGCACAGAGTAAAGCATTATACATGCCATCATCATCATCATCACCACTGTCTGTTTTAAAGCAAGTTTTGTTTATCACATGGTTCATGTGAGAGGATTTTGGGTAGTGTGTTGGTGAGTATAATTTAAAAATATTTTTGTATTTATCTTATAGGACATTAGGAAAGAATTGCCAGCCTATCAACCAAACTCATGATATCATAGACATGATTCCATTGTATAAGTAAAAAAAGTGAGTCAACTTTGAAAAACAGGTAAATGACAGGATAAGCAGTATGTGGCTAGGGCAGAGACTATAACTCACTGCATCATGTCATGTAATTCTATGATCCTTGTGATAATGGTGCTGTTCTAATTTACAGATGAGGAAAGCTAGGCTTTCTTGCTATTACAGTGAGAAGGGGGCTGTGTGAGGACATGAATCTGGGTCTTTCCAATCCCAGGGCCTGTGTTCATCACCCTGTGTTGTAGGCACTGCTAAGCTGTAGTTAGGGAACTAAATATCCAGGTTTATGTCACTAAATATCCTCCCTGCCTACTACTGATGGTTTATATTTCAGGTGAGGTCATAAGATACGAGGTGAGGGAAAGGAATCCGTAGGAAGTGAGCACTCATCAAACCTATATCCGGCAGAGCTTTACAAACATGTATTATCTCTGGTACTTCTCAACAGAAATCCTCTGTGCGAGGACTAAGAGTCTCCACTGTGTACAGTGTGAGTAGTGTCCCCTGGATTTGGGCAGTGTACAACCTGTGCTGCTGCACATGGTGGTACATAAAGTAACAGCTTAATGAATGGTAGCTTCAGAGGAAACTGAGGCTCAGCACAGTTCCAGAACTTGTCCTGGGCCACATAGCTAGGAAGTATCCAAAATGAATTCAGATCTGACTATCTTGTCGGGAGATGGTGGTGACAATGCAAGGTCACCATGATGAAGTGTCCGATGTTGGTGTGGGTAATATAAGCACTGACACAGACCAGAGAAGGATGATAGCATATGGGAGTGGGAAAGTTCATGGAAGGCTTCCTGGAGGAGGCAGAATTTGAATGAGTCTTGAAAGCTCTACTGAAATGTACATAGGTAAATAGAAAAGGGGGTGGCAACATAGGTTAGGGCAATAGCTTCCCAAAGGAGGGCTCAAGGTCTGTTTGGAGAACAGATGGATTGGGCTGAAAGAAGGGGAAACTGGGGGAGGGGCATGGAATTTAGAGAGTACCTTCCAGGTGGTGAGAACCACAGCAAGTTCGGAAGAGAGGAATAGTATGACAAGGATTTGAGATGACCTTCGGAAAAAGCACTAAGTGTGGGGAAGAGAAGGAGCAAATATGGGGTGCAGGTGTGCAGATGTGGCTGCAGGTAACAGGCTCCATCCCAGTGAGTACCTCTGGGAAACTGTAGGGCATGTACCTCTGATATCCCACCTAAGGGGGCATATTTGTCCAGCATCTCCCTCCCAGCAGCCTTTGGTTGAGGGCTGCTCCTGGTGAGCTAATCCTCAGAGCTTTCAGTCTGATGCCTCCAGCCAGAGATGCAGAAGCTGATAAGGGAATTGGCCAGTATTTACTGAAGTGGTTTTTCCTGAAAGAACAGGGACAGCATCTTCTGGGCATTTTACATCTTTTCATTACTACTACTTGGAGACTCCTGTTCCAGGGAAAGAATGCCTGGTTGGCCAAACTTTATTATTTTCCTTCTCTTGTGGCGGGAGGCACACTTTTGCTAAAGGAATATTGGGGTGCTGTTACTGAACGTGGTGGAATGGTTGTCAGATGGTGAAAACAACAAATTCCTAGAGACATGATGGAAAGAGGCAATGAATTATCTCTTCCTTCTCTTCCTCCCTCCCTCCTTCCCTCCCTCCCTTCATTTCTTTTAAGAAATAATTATGGAATGCCTCATCCATGCCAGACTTTGCACTGAGTGCTGGGTATTCAGAGATGAACAAAAGTTCAAGGTCTAAATTCTCATATAGCTCATACTCTTGTAGGGAGTGAAGGACAATTTGCAAGGAAACAAACACCACCATAATTTATGATACCAATAGATGCTATAAAAAAGAAAAGCAACAAGCTCTGCTAGAGATGGACCAGGGGTAGGGGTGGTCAGAAGTGGCTTTTCAGAGGAGGTGTCATTTGAGCTGAGATTTGAAGGAGCAGGTGTGCCAGTGAAGAGGTCTGAATGAGGGGAGGGGGTTACAAAGATTATGAATTGAGGACGAGCTCTATGCAGGGCATCAAGTGAATGCTTCAGGAATATTTACCCAGGAGGAATGTCTGAAAGAAGACTTGCTGTGGCCCAAAGAAAACTGAGCTGTAACCTGCCCCATCATGAGAATTTTTATCTCAGGGTCAGCTCCCTATACTCTCCTCCACTAGTGCATTTGTTGGAGTGTGAGTAACTGTAGGGTCAAGACTGAGACAAGCTCTGGATCCTGTTTCTCTCCATAGCTGCTGGCTGAATACAGAGACAGGGTTCATCTGGAGTTTCCTGGGGCCAGTCTGCGCCATCATCATGGTAAGCAAATTGCTTGGCACAGTGTGTCCTGGAGCAGGAACAAGGAGACCCTGGGGATCAGGAAGTACCAGTGGAAGTTGCGTAGCCGAGGTCACTTATTCCTCTCAAACATTCTCCCTTCTGATCCCTGGTTCTTGAGATATCCAAGTTAGAGTGTAATTTCTTTGACTTGTGATTTTTTTTTTCTCTGCCAACATGCAAATCCTCTGGAAGGGACCACAGTCTTATCTGTCCTTTGTGTTTCAGTAAGAATGGGTCTATTAATGTCTTCTGAGGATAGACATTGAATGGAAAAAAAGAAGGGAGAAAGAAATTAAAAGTATTTAGTGGTCAGGGAGAAGAAGAAAACAGTGGAATGGAAGCAGAGGGAAGCCTAGAGTTGTTTTTGTTTTTGTTTTTAGCTTTATTGAGGTGTAACTGACAAATTAAAAATGTATATATTTAAGGTGTACAACTTGATGTTTTGACTTATCCATACGTCATGAAATAATCACCACAATCAACCCAATGAACATATACATCACCTCGCATAGTTACAGTTTTTCTTTCTTTTCTTTTCCTTTTTTTTTTTTTTGTGGTGAGATCACTTAAGATCTACCCTTTTAGCAAATTTCAATTATACAATACAGTATTGTTAACTATAGACACCACACTGTACATGAGATCTCTAGAACTTATTCACCTTGCATAACTGAAACTTTGTGATCTTGGACTAACATCTCTCCCCATTTGCTCCCCCAGCCCCAGCACCCACTGTTCTACTCTCTGGGAACCTGGGGGTGTTGTGCACCACCTCCTTACCTCCTTACCTCCAACACAGATGCAACAGTCCTGCAAGATGATGTTTCTTTTGACTGTCACTCATGGTGGCTTTTTCCCTTGTGTCACTTGTAATTGTTAATTATGAGCTCCTATCTGACTGATTTAAATCTTGGGAATTCTTGAGATTGTATTCCTCCAGAGGGGTTTTGCTCTGATTTCTGTAAGATTTGGGAGGGGGGCATGTATTAGTTTCCTAGGGCTGCCAAAGTATCACAAACAGGGTGGCTTAGAACAACAGAATTTTATTGTCTCACAGCTCTGGAGGCTAGAAGTATAAAATCGAGGGGTCAGTAGGGCCATGTCCCCTCTGAAGGCTCAAGGGAAGGATCCATTCCAGTTTTCTATCCAAGAAGACTGGTAACCTCAGGAGTTTCTTGACTTGTAGATGTTTGGCTTCTCTCTGTGCATGACTGTCTCTGTGTCCAAATTTCCCTATTTTATAAGGTCATGTGGGATTAGGGCCCAACCTATGACCTCGTTTTAATTTGATCACCTCGTTTAATTAGATCACCAGATCTAACTCCAAATAAGATCACATTCCTAGGTCCTGGGGATTAGGTCTTCAACAATTCAACCCAAACAGGGCACCAATCTTAATTCTAACTTTCCACATGCATCCAGTGAAAATAAGTGGTGATCACCCAGATGAAGAACCAGCAAAGGATATTTATTGCTATAGTAAGGGAGTCAGCCACCATCATTTGCACTTTGCAGAGACTCAAAAGCAGGCAGAGTAGGATAAAAAAGGGAAGGCTTCAGGTGTGCCTTGATCAGAGGCTGTAGGCATCAGGACCCTATAGGCAAGCTAACTCAAAGCAAGGCATCCTATGTGAATGCTTAGGGGAGCATATTGGCTTTTTCCCTTTGGTCCTAAGTTGGAAGTGAGGGCAGAAATTAGGGAGGCTGTCAGTCACCAATCAAGAGGTGGTTGTTTAGGGTCGACTGCTTCCTGGAGTGGTTACTGCAGACTATGGGTTTTTACTGGGGGTCTGGCCATTGTCCAGTTGTATATCCAATCTCTCAGTCTTTTCTGCTTGACTTTGTAGGTTAATTCCATCCTCCTGACTTGGACGTTGTGTGTCCTGAGGCAGAAGCTTTCCAGTGTCAATGCTGAAGTCTCAACGCTCAAAGACACCAGGTGTGGACCCTCTTTCCTTTTCTCTCCTTTTCAAGTCTCCTTCATTCTTCCCACAAACATTCACTGAGTACTTTTTGTATGCCTGGTCCTGTGCCCAGGACAGAACAGCACAATGTCTAGATCTGGGGTCTCAAACACCAGGTCTGCCACTTATAAGCTGTGTGACCTTAGGCAAGTTACATAACCTCTCTGAAACTGTTTCCTCATCTGTATACTGGGGATATTAACATTGCCCACTTTATTTGGCTTATGAAGCAGTAACACAGTTACTAGGGAGAGTGTTTCCTATATTGAAACTATTAATACATTTTCTAACTCATCTACTGTGCATAATAATATGTGCGTATTTACAAAAACAGAATCATGCCATCTACTTTATTTTTATAACCATTTTTTCTCTTAATAATGTTATGAATATTTTTCAAGGTAACTAGACATTCTTTAACAATATCTTCTTTTTTTATAAAACATTTCAGTGTAAGAATGTAGCACAACTTACTTAAATCACACCTTATTCATGGACGTTCAAGTTGTTTCTGATTTCTTGGGGTGGGGAGAGCTATTATAAGCAATGCAGTCTTGAATACCCTTGTAGATAGATCTTTTTCCATATCTGTGGTTATTGAATCATAACAGTAGGCATGAAACTGCCTGAGTCAAATGGCAGGTTGGATTATCCCACTTTTAGTATATATTGAAAATTATTTTCCGGAAAATTTGTTTCCATTTGCAAGAGTGCTTATTTACCTACAGCTTTGCTGACACTGGGATTTATCACTTTTGTTGTGTCATTTTGATGATTTAATAGGTGAAAGATATTATCTTATTATTTTAGTTTTGTATATATTATTTTATCTTACAGATGTGGGACATTCTCATACTTTTACAGGCCATTTGTGTTTCTTAACTTCATCACTCAACTACTCTTTTTTAAAAAAGATTTTGTTATTTGGGAGAGATAGAAAGCACAAGTGGGGGGGAGGGGCAAAGGGAGAGGAAGAAGCAGACTCCCTGCTGAGCAGGGAGCCTGATGAGAGAGAGAGGCTTGATCTCAGCACCCTGAGATCATAACCTGAGCCAAAAGCAGCCACTTAACTCATTGAGCCACCCAGGCACACCTCAACTAATCTTCATCTTAAGAACCTACCAAAGTCAGACATTGTCTAGGTTTTATTGTCAGGAACCTTATGATGTCCTTTGCTTATTTTCCTGTCAGTATCCAATCCCTCTTCCATCTTAAATAATTTTTTCTAAAAATTATTTTTAAAAAGTTGATGCAAAAAGTGTAAAACAAAGTTAATACATGCAATGGTAAGAAAAATTAAGCAGTGAAAAAGGGAACACATGGAAAGTAATTTCTTGTCTCTTCCCTGACTCCCAGGTTCCCAGATCTCTCCCACCTTAAGCAACCATTATCACTTGAATTGAGCTTTCTTACAGAATATTCTATACCTACACATCAACCTTCTATTACATAAATGATAGGATACTATACATATTCTGAACTTGGGGTTTTTTCCACATAATATATAGCTGATTTCATATCAATACTTATGGCTAAAAACAACTAACAAAAATGTTTTTGTACTAGACACTGTTGTAAGCATCCTTAGAGTTTTGTTATCTCATTTGATCTGTAGAACAAGTAATATCACCCTGTAGGCATTGTATTATTGTCCCTATATCAATTTGAGGAAACTGAGGCACAGTTTCCACAGGTACCCAGAGCCTGTACCCTCACCCCCTATAGTATATGGTCTCTCTCATCTCATTTTATCTTTTTTTATTGTTATGTTAATCACCATATATTACATCATTAGTTTTTGGTGCAGTGTTCCATGATTCATTGTTTGTTCATAACACCCAGTGCTCCATGCAGAACGTGCCCTCCTCAATACCCATCACCAGGCTAACCCATCCCCCCACCCCCCTACCCTCTAGAACCCTCAGTTTGTTTTTCAGAGTCCATCATCTCTCATGGTTCGTCTCCCCCTCTGACATACTCCCCTTTTCTTCCTCTCCTGTTATCTTCTTCTTTTCCTTTTTTCTTAAAATATGTTGCGTTATTTGTTTCAGAAGTACAGATCTGTGATTCAACAGTCTTGCACAATTCACAGCGCTCACCGTAGCACATACCCTCCCCAATGTCTATCACCCAGCCACCCCATCCCTCCCACCCCCAACCACTCCAGTAACACTCAGTTTGTTTCCTGAGATTAAGAATCCTCATATCAGTGAGGTCATGTGATACATGTCTTTCTCTGATTGACTTATTTCACTCAGCATAACACCCTCCAGTTCCATCCACGTCGTTGCAAATGGCAAGATCTCATTCCTTTTGATGGCTGCATAATATTCCATTGTGTATATATACCACATCTTCTTTATCCATTCATCTGTCGTTTTTTTTTTTTTTTTTTTTTTTTTTTTTTTTTTTTTTTTTTTTGCTGCTATAAACATTAGGGTACACGTACCCCTTCGGGTCCCTACATTTGTATCTTTGTGGTAAATACCCAGTAGTGCAATTCCTGGATCGAACGGTAGCTCTAATTTCAACTGTTTGAGGAACCTCCATACTGTTTTCCAGAGTGGTTGCACCAGCTTGCATTCCCACCAACAGTGTAGAAGGGTTCCCCTTTCTCCACATCCCCGCCAACATCTGTTGTTCCCTGACTTGTTCATTTTAGCCATTCTGATTGGTGTGAGGTGGTATCTCATTGAGGTTTTGATTTGGATTTCCCTGATGCCGAGCGATGTTGAGCACTTTTTCATGTGCCTGTTGGCCATTTGGATGTCTTCTTTGGAGAAATGTCTGTTCATGTCTTCTGCCCATTTCTTGATTGGATTATTTGTTCTTTGGGTGTTGAGTTTGATAAGTTCTTTATAGATTTTGGATACTAGTCCTTTATCTGATATGTCATTTGCAAATATTTTCTCCCATTCTGTCGGTTGTCTTTTGGTTTTGTGGACTGTTTCTTTTGCTGTGCAAAAGCTTTTTATCTTGATGAAATCCCAATAGTTCATTTTTGCCCGGGCTTCCCGTGCCTTTGGCGATGTTTCTAGGAAGAAGTTGCTGCGGCTAAGGTCGAAAAGGTTGCTACCTGTGTTCTCCTTTAGGATTTTGATGGACTCCTGTCTCACGTTTACGTCTTTCAACCATTTGGAGTCTATTTTTGTGTGTGGTGTAAGGAAATGGTCCAGTTTCATTCTTCTGCATGTGGCTGTCCAATTTTCCCAACACCATTTGTTGAAGAGACTGTCTTTTTTCCATTGGACATTCTTTCCTGCTTTGTCAAAAATAAGTTGACCATAGAGTTGAGGGTCCATTTCTGGGCTCTCGATTCTGTTCCATTGATCTATGTGTCTGTTTTTGTGCCAGTACCAAACTGTCTTGATGATGACAGCTTTGTAATAGAGCTGGAAGTCCGGAATTGTGATGCCGCCAGCTTTGCATTTCTTTTTCAGTATTCCTCTGGCTATTCTGGGTCTCTTCTGGTTCCATACAAATTTTAGGATTATTTGTTCCATTTCTTTGAAAAAAGTGGATGGTATTTTGATGGGGATTGCATTGAATGTGTAGATTGCTCTAGGTAGCATTGACATCTTCACAATGTTGGTTCTTCCAATCCATGAGCATGGAACGTTTTTCCATTTCTTTGTGTCTTCTTCAATTTCTTTCATGAGTATTTTATAGTTTTCTGAGTACAGATCCTTTGCCTCTTTGGTTAGATTTATTCCTAGGTATCTAATGGTTTTGGGTGCAATTGTAAATGGGATAGACTCCTTGATTTGTCTCTCTTCTGTCTTGTTGTTGGTGTATAGGAATGCCACTGATTTCTGTGCATTGATTTTATATCCTGCTACTTGACTGAATTCCTGTATGAGTTCTAGCAGTTTTGGGGTGGAGTCTTTTGGGTTTTCCACATACAGTATCATATCATCTGCAAAGAGTGAGAGTTTGACTTCCTCTTGCCGATTTGGATGCCTTTGATTTCTTTTTGTTGTCTGATTGCTGTGGCTAGGACTTCTAATACTATGTTGAATAGCAGTGGTGAGAGTGGACATCCCTGCCGCGTTCCTGACCTTAGGGGAAAAGCTCTCAGTCTTTCCCCATTGAGAATGATATTCGCTGTAGGTTTTTCATAGATGGCTTTTATGATATTGAGGTATGTACCCTCTATCCCTATACTCTGAAGAGTTTTGATCAAGAAAGGATGTTGTACTTTGTCAAATGCTTTTTCTGCATCTATTGAGAGGATCATATGATTCTTGTTCTTTCTTTTGTTAATGTATTGTATCACGTTGATTGATTTGCGGATGTTGAACCAGCCTTGCAGCCCAGGAATAAATCCCACTTGGTCATGGTGAATAATCCTTTTAATGTACTGTTGGATCCTATTGGCTAGTATTTTGGTGAGAATTTTTGCATCCATGTTCATCAAGGATATTGGTCTGTAATTCTCTTTTTTGATGGGGTCTTTGTCTGGTTTTGGGATCAAGGTAATGGTGGCCTCATAAAATGAGTTTGGAAGTTTCCCTTCCATTTCAATTTTTTGGAACAGTTTCAGGAGAATAGGTATTAATTCTTCTTGAAATGTCTGATAGAATTCCCCTGGGAAGCCGTCTGGCCCTGGGCTTTTGTTTCTTGGGAGATTTTTGATGACTGTTTCAATTTCCTTAGTGGTTATAGGTCTGTTCAGGTTTTCTATTTCTTCCTGGTTCAATTTTGGTAGTTGATACATCTCTAGGAATGCACCCATTTCTTCCAGGTTCTCTAATTTGCTGGCATAGAGTTGCTCATAATATGTTCTTATAATTGTTTGTATTTCTTTGGTGTTGGTTGTGATCTCTCCTCTTTCATTCATGATTTTGTGGATTTGGGTCATTTCTCTTTTCTTTTTGATCAGTCTGGCCAGGGGTTTATCAATCTTGTTAATTCTTTCAAAGAACCAGCTCCTAGTTTCGTTGATCTGTTCTACTGTTCTTTTGGTTTCTAGTTCATTGATTTCTGCTCTGATCTTTATGATTTCTCTTCTCCTGCTGGGTTTAGGCTTTATTTGCTGTTCTTTCTCCAGCTCCTTTACGTGTAGGGTTAGGTTGTGTATTTGAGACCTTTCTTGTTTCTTGAGAAAGGCTTGTATTGCTATATACTTTCCTCTCAGGACTGCCTTTGCTGTATCCCAAAGATTTTGAACAGCTGTGTTTTCATTTTCATTGGTTTCCATTAATTTTTTTAATTCTTCTTTAATTTCTTGGTTGACCCATTCATTCTTTAGTAGGATGCTCTTTAGCCTCCATGTATTTGAGTTCTTTCCGACTTTCCTCTTGTGGTTGAGTTCTAGTTTCAAAGCATTGTGGTCTGAAAATATGCAGGGAATAATCCCAATCTTTTGGTACCGGTTGAGACCTGATTTGTGACCTAGAATGTGATCAATTCTGGAGAATGTTCCATGGGCACTAGAGAAGAATGTGTATTCCGTTGCTTTGGGATGGAATGTTCTGAATATGTCTGTGAAGTCCATTTGGTCCAGTGTGTCATTTAAAGTCTTTATTTCCTTGTTGATCTTTTGCTTAGATGGTCTGTCCATTTCAGTCAGGGGGGTGTTAAAGTCCACCACTATTATTGTATTGTTGTCAATGTGTTTCTTTGCTTTTGTTATTAATTGCCTTATATAATTGGCTGCTCCCATGTTCGGAGCATAGATATTTACAATTGTTAGATCTTCTTGTTGGATAGACCCTTTAAGTAGGATAGAGTGTCCTTCCTCATCTCTTATTACAGTCTTTGTTTTAAAATCTAGTTTGTCTGATATAAGGATTGCCACCCCAGCTTTCTTTTGGTGTCCATTAGCATGGTAAATGGTTTTCCACCCCCTCACTTTCAATCTGGGGGTGTCTTTGGGTCTAAAATGAGTCTCTTGCAGACAGCATATTGATGGGTCTTGTTTTTTAATCCAATCTGATAGCCTGTGTCTTTTGATTGGGGCATTGAGCCCATTTACATTCAGGGTAACTATTGAAAGGTATGAATTTAGTGCCATTGTATTACCTGTAAGGTGACTGTTAACTGTCTGTTGTCTGTGTTCGTTTCTGCTCTTTGCTGCTTTTAGGTTCTCTCTTTGCTTAGAGGACCCCTCTCAATATTTCTTGGAGGGTTGGTTTCGTGTTTGCAAATTCCTTTAGTTTTTGTTTGTTCTGGAAGCTTTTTATCTCTCCTTCTATTTTCAATGATAGCATAGCTGGATATAGTATTCTTGGCTGTATATTTTTCTCGTTTAGTGCTCTGAAGATATCTTGCCAGTCCTTTCTGGCCTGCCAGGTCTCTGCGCATAAGTTTCCAAATGTCTTTGCCGGAGGCGTAATTGCCCCGCCCTTGTCGGTCCGGGCTAAGGAAGCTGCTCCGGTTTGTTCTCAGGAGCTTTTGTTCCCTGCAAGCTCTCGGTACAGCTTTGGAGGACCAGGGCAGAAATGGTGGCCTCCCAATCTCCACCCGGAGGAGCTGAGAACTCGGGGCCCCGCTCCTCAGTGTGTCCCCAGAGAAAAGCAGTCACTCCCGTGTCCCCGGTCTCCGGCCGCACTCCGTGCTCACCCGGCCTGTGATCGAGCGTTGCTATCTCTGGCACCCGACCCCGCTCGGAGTCTCCAAACCCAGCAGATCACTGCAGTGCGTTCCCGCACCGCTCCTCCCCGGGAAGGAAGGGGAGTCTCCCCGGATCTGCTGCTTTTTGGGTCCCTGCTGGGGGAGCCGTGCCCCGACTGGGCCGCAGATCACAGTTTATGGCAACCCCGAGCTGCGAGCCCGCGCCTCGGCTCCGTCTCTGCAGCCGGCTTCCCCTCTCCGATCCCTGGGAGCTCTGGCGCACTCAGGCACCCCCGGTCTCTCCGTGACCCCAAGAGTCCTGAGACCCCACTGTCCCGGGAGGATTCCACCCCCCGCTTAGCCACTGCAGCGACGTCCCTCCACGGAGCCAACTTCTAAAAGGTCCGATTTTGTGCTCCGCGGCTCTATCACTTGCCAGAAGCGGCCGGCAGAGGTCCCTCCCCCGCCGTCTATCCTCCCGAGTATCGCCTCGGATTCACTTCTCCGCACGCCCTACCTTCCAGTAAGTGGTCGCTTCTCTGTTCAGAGAGTTGTTGCTACTCTCCTGTTCGATCTCCTGTTGAGTTCGTAGGTGTTCAGAATGGTTTGATCCCTATTCAGCTGAATTCCTGAGACCAGAGGAAATCTAGGTCTCCTACTCCTCCGCCATCTTGCTCCGCCCCCTCTCATCTCATTTTAAAAAATGGTTTTATGGGACACCTGACTGGCTCAGTCGGTGAAGCATGCAACTCTTGATCTCAGGGTTGTGAATTCAAGCCCCATGTTGGGTATAGAGATTACTTAAAAATAAAATCTTTTAAAAATGGTTTTATTATTTGCTTTTTTTTATTTTATTTTTTTTTGAAAGCAAGAGCACTGAAAATCAGTTTTTCACAGTTATCTCTACTTTGGAGTTCCATTAAGTCTGTGAATTGGCTCAGCTTTTAGTCTCTTTAGATTTGCCTATTCTGGACATTTCCTGTAAGTTGAATCATATACTCTGTATCCTTTTGCAACTGGCATCTCTCACTGACATAATGTCTTCAGGGTTCATCCACATTGTAGCAGATATCAGTGCTTTATTCCTTTTCATGGCTAAATAATAATCCAGGGTATGAATGGACCATATTTTGTTTATCTGTCCATCAATAGATGGACCCTAGGGTTGTTTCCGTTGCAGGGAGGACGGGGAATGAATGCTTAATAGGTGTGGGGTTTCTTTTTGGGGTGATAAAAATGTCTTAGAACTGGCTGGTGATGATGTTTGTACAGCATCATGAATGTGCCAAATGCCACTGAATTGCACACTTTAAATGGTTAAAATGGTGAGTTTTATATTATGTGAGTTTTTCTTCAATTAAAAAAAGTGTCCTTATATTTCATACTATGACATCACCATTCATTTAATGTGTCCCCGGTTCTTGACCTGTAGGTCCTTTGAGCATTTTCATCACTACCAACACTATTACGTTAAATATATGTGTCCACACATCCTTGTGCCATGTTATCTGTAGGCCAACTGCCTTTTAAATGCCAGCGGGACTCGATGTCCCTGCCTCGGGGCTTGGAGACTCCACTGCACGTTTATTCCCACCAAGGTGGCAGGTGAGTCGTGGGAGCACAGTCCATGAGAACAACAGCCACTGCCCAGAATTTTACCCTCTCCAAATCTTCTCCCCTAGGTTACTGACGTTCAAAGCCTTTGCCCAGCTCTTCATCTTGGGGTGCTCCTGGGTGTTGGGCATTTTCCAGATTGGACCCATGGCTAGTATCATGGCCTACCTGTTCACTATCATCAATAGCCTGCAGGGGGCCTTCATCTTCGTCATTCACTGTCTGCTCAACCGCCAGGTACATAGCAGTTGCCCTTCCAGGCCCCATCCTTCCGGGGAACATGCCTGTGTCGGCCCACATCCCTGCATCTAGGAATAATTCATCCTCTTGTGATGTGTCTCTTCCTCCAGGTACGGGAAGAATACAGGGGATGGATTACCAGGAAGATCAAACCCAGTTCCGAGTCCCAGACTTCAGGGATGTTACTGTCCTCTGTCCCCTCCACTTCTAAAATGGTGAGAGACTGTTTTATGTGGTTTCTTCTGTTCAAATGGAACCCCTGCTTCTTAGCAACACCAGATGCCACTGTGCACCGAGTATCTACTGTGAGCTAAGTGTGTCCATGTATATTAGCACATTTGATAAAGTACGGTATTCAAGAGTTGGGGTTCAGGAGCCAGGCTTCCTGGGCTTAAATCCCAGCTTTGCCCCTTAGTAGCTGTGTGAACTAAACAAGATAAAATCATGACTCATACAGATATAATATGAGCATACATTAAGGATTTTATTCTACTCATTAATCAGTGAGGGAGTGAGGTGGATATTAAACTGGCTCAAGAGAGAATGCACAGAACAGATATATATATTATGTAACATATATATATACTGTATTATGTAACATGTATCATATATATCTCATATATTGTATACATTATATACAAATTATGTAATGTTTTATATATTTTGTGTAAATTATATATAGTATATATTATATATGTATTATGTAATACATACATATGTCTGTACTTCGCATTCTTTTCTGAGCCAGTTATAACATCTGCTAGGTTCTCTTGTTGATAATTTTATATCAACAAAATATAAATTATATATATAACATATATAATTATACATATAATTATAAAGTTATATATTATATAACTATACCTAATACATAAAATTTCATATGATGTATTTAAAAATGAATTAAAATATATATCAACATATGAATTCTATGAATTATACTACACATATATAATTTCAGAGACATTGAAATGAATGTGCAAATGGAGGCAAAACTGATTTTTCCACATAATTTTGCATTGCTATCATCGCTATTTAAAACTTACAGAGTTGTATTTAAATTCAGTTAACCAAGTTATAGCACATCATTAGTTTTTGATATAATATTCAATGATTCATTAGTTGAGTATAACACCCAATGCTCATCATATTTAAATAAATAAATAAAAATTAAAAAGAACAAAATTTACAGAGTTGTAAAACTTTCTCTACACAATTGCTCTTCCATCCCCCATTAGAATTTTTTATATTTTCAATAATTTATTCCAAACACAAGTAACTAAGATTCAGTGGCTTAATTAAATAGGAAATTCTTCTTCTTCTTCTTCTTTTTTTTTTTTTTGCAAGAATAGAAGCTGAGTTAGGTGTTGCTGGTATTGGTTCTGTTGCTCAGGGATGTTGTAAAGGATCTAGGTTTTCCCTACTTTTCCAATCCACTAACAACATGTTGACTTCATCAAACAATTTTCATGATTGCAAGATGGCTGCCATAGCTCCAGACATCATGACCATGTTGAAGGCAAGAAGAGGCAGAAGTGGCAAACGCTTTCTCCCTTTCACAGGAAACAAAAGCTTTCCCAGAAATCCCTCAGTGGATTTCCCTTTCACTTAGTTGGTCAGAACTGTATCACATGATGACACATAGTTACAAAGGAATTTGACAAAACAAGTATTTGGCTTCTTTGCTTCTTGAGTGGAAGCTATCAGTGGTGAAGAGGTTGAGAACAGTTTTCAAGTTTGCCATTAGTGCCTGCCACACTAGAGACCATCACTGTTAACATTTTAATGTTTATCCTTCAGTCGTTTGTTGCCATATTTCTCTCTGTGTATTTATAAGACCCCTAGAATCACATTTGTACTAATTCTGCTGATTCTAATTCTGATTTCTCTCTCACAGGGTTAAAGCTCTTTCTTACTTTCAAATATGCTATGAAGCAACATTTGAGGAAAGCAGGTACCTGCAGGAGACTACTCTGAAATCTCTTCACAGCTTGATGCACAGATGCAGGATCCTGCTAGCCCCAGAACCCTCTGGAAAACAAGAATTTCTGTTCAAGATGATAAGTTCATCATCCGTGTTCTGCTCTATGAGTTTCTAGACTTTTGTGGAAGTAACAGATCCCAGGGCAATAGCATGAACAAGGTTACCTGGCTACCATTTTGGTTTCTCCTAAGCTCATTGGTGCATGGCAAGCAAGTGTGTCTCCAGCACTATCCTGCGCCTGACACAGAGCAGTCCTCAATAAATGATTTGTCATATGACTGACTGACTTACCCTTTGACAAAGCCTCCTCCTGCTTTTAAAGAAATGGTCAGTAAAACAGTAATGGTGACCCCAGGGGATGAATAAAACCCACAGACCTATAGGCTACTTTTGCACAAACACTTAAAACAGTTATGTTGGTGAGTAGGAGTGCTGGATGGAGCAGAATCCCAGCATTTCATGGAGGGTTGCAGTGCTTGATGACACCTTTTGGAAACTGTTTTGGTTTCCTGGGACCTTTCAGCAAACCAACATCTCTCTTCCTTCCAGGAACTTCCTTAGGACTTGGCTAGGATTCACACTTCTCACAAAAGTATCACCATCCCACCTGGCCCTCCATCCTGCATAAAATCTTGATTGCCAGGGAGAGTAGAGGGGGATGAAACTTTTAAAAATGTAGTTATCCTGGGGTGCCTGGGTGGCTCAGTCGTTAAGTGTCTGCCTTCAGCTTGGGTCATGATCCCAGGGTCCTGGGATTGAGCCCTGTGTCAGGCTCCCTGCTCCGCAGGAAGCCTGCTTCTCCCTCTCCCACTCCCCCTGCTTGTGTTCCCTCTCTCACTGTGTCTCTTTCTGTCAAATAAATAAATAAAATCTTTAAAAAAAATGTAGAAGTCCTCTGTGCTCGCTTTGGCCGCACACAGGCTAAAATTGGAACAATAAAATGTATATATCCTCCCTTCCAAGGCACTCTGATACCTCCCTACTCAAAGTGTGGTCTGTGGACCAGAAGCATCAGCATCACCTTGTTAGGAGAGCAGGATCTTAGGCCCCACCCCATATTGGCTGAACCAGAACTTGAATTTTAATGAGAGCCCCAGGGGATTTGTGTTGTACACACGAATGAATGTTCTAGAATATTCTGGAATATTCTTCTGCTTGCCATGCTGATAGCAGAGCTTGTCTTTAAAACCAGAAAGGAAAATATCTTCTTGACTTTTGGACTTTGCATCTGCCATTCCCTCAAAATCCAACTAATTTCTACCTTTTCTTGAGTCTCAGTCATCACTTCCACCAGGGAGAATTTTTTGAATCTCCTCAAGTAGGACTAGATGCCCCTTTGCGTGTCCCTAGGGCTTCATGCTTTCTAACCCTGTATTATAACTTCTCTTTTTCTTAGGCATCTCCAGCTTAGACTGTGAGCTCTGTAAGTACAGGGAATTATACCTAGGAGAGTCTCCATAAATATGTTGAATGAATGAGTAAATGAATGATTACTTTCCATTCTGAGGATGAGGAAACCAAGGCTCAGAGAGGTTAGGTAACTTTCCCAGACTCACACAGCTGTAGGTGGCTGAGGTAGGCTGTGAACTCCTGACCCCAGAGCTCCTCTTCCAGACCCTGTGTCTTTCTCCTTCTCTTCCTTTGACCCCAGGAATTCTTAGTTTGGGGATACAGAGGAAAGACAAAATATTTACTTTGAGTCAACTTACCACTGAAGATTCAATTAGCTCAGTAATGATCCTGGGTAGACGATTTGAAAACATTAAACTTGGCTGATGGAGGCTCAGTCTCTATTATTTGTGGCAGCCACAGCTTGAGAGGGAAGCTGACCCATGAGTTCATTTATGACAGGTTGGTCTTCAGTGTTTTGCTTGTCCAGAGAGTTCAGTACAGAGGCCGTAGTTCTAAGGGATAGTGAAGCAAGAGATGGCACGGCTCCTACCCGTCAGCAGTTGTGGTAGATTGATTGCATCAGTGGCCTCCATCTCTCTACACCCCTTCCCTGTCACTCTGTGATTCTTACTGCTCTCACTCAAGCTTGGCCTTGAGGCTTGCTTTGGTCAGCAGAATGACTCAAAGACAGAGGGTTTCACAATTGGGTGTGCATTCTTTCTTGCCTTTACAAGATCAGTTTTACTTGCTCTTGCCTCCCTGCCTCCACCCTGAGAACATATCCAGCTAAACTGCGGGAGGAGTGTGAGAAACATGGAGGACAGCTACGTCATCCCATTATACCAGCTGAGGCTGTCCTCAATCAGCCAACTAGCCGACCTGTAGCTGACTGCAGTCAGGTGAGCAAGCCCAACTAAGAGCGCAGACCTGCTAAACCAAATCAGAGACTCAGGAGTAGCAATCAAGTATCTTTGTTTTAAGGCACTGAGTTTCAAGAGTAGTTTGCGGCAATTATTAACTGATATATTAACCAATGGATTATCAACATTTTGTATTTAATTGCAACAATTTGGAAGATACAAAAAGAAGGATTGGGGTCTTCATTTCCTCTTAGCTATCAGCATCTATAAATTTGTAACACTTAAACTTCTTCTGGATAGAAGACTTACACAAAAGCTTGTCTTTACAACAGTGTTACATGTTGGTCAGAAATAATGTTGTCCTTCAGGGGGCAGAATATCAGAGTTGTTAATCACACCTGCCTACACGTAAAGGGAAAACCAGAATGTGACAATGCCATATATATATTTATATACATATTATATAAACATACATACTTATATATAAAATACACATAATTTATTTTAATATATAATATATATTATATATAAAAATATATATTTAAAGGGACATATGCTCTTATTTTTTATTTTTAATTTTTTTAGAGAGAGAGAAAGTGGGGGGAGGGGCAGAGGGAGAAGGGGGGGCAGAGGGAGAGAGAGACTCTTAAGCAGGCTTCACACCACAGAGCCTGACTCAGGGCTCAATCTCATGACCCTGAGATCATGACATCAGCTGAAACCAAGAGTCAGATGCTTTAACTGACTGAGCCACCCACACGCCCCAGGAACTCTATATTTCTAAGGTAAGTAAAAACTGTGGCCTCCACAACAAGAATTTTTCTTACCATAAACATCAACCTACCTTTGGTAGAGTCCTATACCGCCATCGCCTCCAGTGCCTCCACTAGAGAGAGAAAGGGACTCAGAATAAAAACTGCATCGTTCTCCAATCCCATAAATATAAAGATCCATTCATTCAAGAAATATTTGTTGGCTACCTACAACGTGCTTCCCCCAGAACATTAAAATAATTGAAACAATATTGAAAATTGAAGTTAAGGATATTAGAACTGAAAACATTTCAAATTTAAATGTCTTTTTTCCCCAAACCAGAATTTATTAAAATTTTACTTTCTTGGTTTTAATGGAAGTAAACTCAATCAAAAAATTTTCAAAATCAAGTTCTAGAAAAAATTAGCTATTAAAAAGTACATTAAGAAAGTGTGTGTAAGGGTGCACATTTTTCTTTTCTGCCACAGGCAAAAGATGGTGACCTGGCATAGCAAGGGATATTTTGGATGTTCGATTTATCATGGGTTTTCTTGCATTGATTTTTGATGTTTTGAAATGTTGCATTGACACAGTGTTTATCTTGATTACTCAAGGGATTGTCTCCTTTTATATTGTGCCTGAGGTGGGTGCTTCCTTATCCTCACCCTTGTGCTGGCCCTGATCATGACCATTTGGGGGCAGATTTACAGCTAGTTTTTAGGAAATGGGACAACATTCTTGTCATCCCTTGTCTAAAAACACTTAGTTATAATACTCTGTTAGTCACACCTGCCTACATGTAAAGGGAAAACCAGAATGTGACAATGCCAGATGTCTCATGCCCACCTGAGAATGATCTAGAACAGGTATACCTATGCTATTCTGAAATATGTATTTTTTTGTGTTTGTCACATTGTGAATATCTTTTCAACTCATCAAACCTTTTGAAACTTTTTTTGTTTTGTTTTGTTTTGATGGTTGCATGGTGGTCTGTGGTATACACGTGTCATAATGTATTTAATCTGAGTTGCGTCATCTCCAACTTTTCAGTATAAACAATGCTGTAAGGAACATCTTTGAGCTAAATTTCAAACACTCTACTATTTAAATGCTTTTGAAACCAGTTATAGGTTGTGAGTGGGAAGAAGTTTGTATGTCTTCCTTAATGCGTGGTTGAAGAAACACATAAGTGTACCAAAGCCCCAAAGTACCAAAGCCCCAAACTACCAAAAAAATAAGCCATTAGAAATAGTAATTTGAAGTTTACTTAAGGTGTACTCAAGAGAAGGTTTCCATCATCAGTTCTGAGTCATCTGGTCACCTCCTTGCCTTAACATTCCATTCCATTGTGCCTAAAGCTATCAACCTTTTATTTGTAATACTCAGCATGTTGGATTATAATCAGATGTTCATGTGTTTTGTCTCATTTGTCTCTGTATGTCTATGACCAGCAGAAGACTGTGCTCGCAGATGGACTCTATAGTGTTTGTGGAATGAATGCATCAAGAAAGTGTTGTGCCAGTCTGCTGCACAGTAATAGGACAGTGTTCTGATATTCTGCCCCCTGAAGGACAAGCTCTTCTGGTTTTCCAAATCATGTCCTGCTCTTGCCCAGTGACTGAAACAGGCCCCTTTCCCATTTCCAAGAACTACTCGGTGATAACTCCATTACAAACACTACTATTTCTAAAACGACAATGGGTGACTTAGGGATTTTGGTGCCCATGACTTATTGAGGGAATGCTCTGAGAAAAGAGAAAGTGAGGGAAGCAGGATGTGGTAGGAGAAGGATGTGGGTTCAGCCAGATCCCACGGTGAGCTCTGATGCCTGGATTGTACCTCAGCGTCAGTCCCCCTTTGAGGCTGGTGACCAGCCTTTCATACCCCTGTGTCAGTCAGTTACTGGCTGTGTGCTGCCCTCGTGGTGGTGGGAACCTTTAGCTCCTGTTCAGCTGAAGCCAATCTGGAGAAGGGACAGCTGGTCCAAAAAGGAACTTAATGATGGACATCAACAATATTGCCCCATCCCCATGACTGCCAAATATAAAAAAGAAAGTTGTATTAATCACGTAGATACTTGCTCACAGCTCATTGTAATGCGATTTTGAACTGCATTTTAAAATGTTTATTTCAAAGGATGTTCCTTAGACATTCCGATAAAACCTTCCTCTTATTGCTCTTAGGGATTGTTTACCATTATCATTTGGCTTTATTGAGCCTGGAATGTAATGGTGTTTATATTTCCAAATAGACCTTTAATCAAGTGCTTTCATCTTTAAAAAATA